GCCACCTCCCACTTGAGACGAGAGCGCCGATGGCCCGTGACGACTACGACGACGACAGTGGGCTGGTCCATGCGGAGATCCCGACGACGTTTCGCGAGCTGCGCGCGTGCATGATCTGCTCCCTCGTGAAGACGTATAGCCAGTTCTACGAGAGCGGCTGCGACAACTGCGCCGTGCTCAACATGCAGGACAACCGCCAGCGCGTGACGGACTGCACGACCGCGTACTTTGAAGGCATGATTGCGATGATGCAGCCGCGCGAGAGCTGGGTCGCCAAGTGGCGCCGCATCGGTCGCTTCGTGCCTGGCATTTACGCCGTCTCGGTCACGGGGGAGCTCAACGATAGCATCAAAAAGTACCTGGAGGATTCCAACATTCCTTATCGCACGGACTAATACAATTGCGTCTGCAATGAACTTGGTGTTGCCTGCCTCCGTGAACACACCTCGCGGCCTTTTGCTGTCGATCCTCGCGCGGTTCGGTGGTCGTGGGGACGACTACACTGTACTACTACGACCCGTTGAGGCATGGAAGAGCGTGCAAGATTGCAAAGACAAATAGAGGTACAATCGTATTCGAGCTATAAAGGTCTACTACACCAACACGGTGGAGGTGTCGCATTTAGCTGCGGAACTTGCCCCACACGTGGAGCAAGACGACGAAGCCGACGAACATCAAGCAGAGCACGAGCACAGTGGTGGGGCCCATCTTAATGCCAGGGGCATCGTCCGTGTAGAAGCGGAGGATACCAGCGGAGCTACCACCCATGCCACGGCCCGTGTTGGCCGACGACTTGGCGGCTGGGCGACGGCTAGACAGAAGCCATTAGACTCGGGGTGTAGTGCGAGGAGAGGACATACTTGCGCAAGGCGGCGGCGCTGGAAGGAGCTGCGGTGCTCGGCGTGCTGCTGGTCGACGACTACAGAGGGGCGCGGATGAGATACATTGGCGAGCACATGTGCGGGACGTCTACCATGATGGCGAAAATGTGAAATGAGAAAATAGAAATTGCTGCGCCACGGTTGGAAGACACGTCAGCATCAATTGACTTCGATTTTTGGCCGTCTCTGTATTATATTACCTTGGCCTTTGTATGATGTGTCGATGATTAAATAGCCGCCCATTACAAGTGTTACTCTCGCGGGTTTTACGGACCTGCCGGTTAAGCGATTGCACAGTGGGAAATAACGGTGGGAATCGTGTCAATCGCACGTTTTACACACAGGATCCAACGAGGGTACACTAACATTTGCTTCCAACGAGACCATGTTGACATTTGTGGTCACTAAGCGGAAGATCGTCCAAATTCATTAGTTTTGAGACGTGGTCTGCCTGGCGTATTTCCTCAGGCCGTAAGTGAGCCTTTACTGTACTGGGCTTGACCCTACAACCAAGGTGGCGACAGGTGGTGATCGAGTGAGACGACGAGGACGGGCGTCGACGTCGCCGATAAGGTAGCAAGCAAGTGGTGGCGTCCTCATGGTCACAAAACTCGCTCATTCCAAGTTCACGAGCGTCGCGTTCGACGACATGGTCGTGTGATATGGAGCGCGCAAACTGTACGAGCACGAGCTGCGTATGCAATGCTACCACCAAGGGAAGAGCTTTGGGAAGAGCTTTGGATCGATGTGCGTGCTTCGTTCCATCCCCCTGAATTCCTCGAGCAACGCATGAGCACCTGAGACCTTCTGGACGGGCACGTGGTCGAGGCGGTCCCTGAAGGCGATTGATGAAGATTAACAATCTCATCGCCAAGGCCGAAGGTGCACGTACGCCCGGCTACAAGAAGGCAATCAAACAGCTCCAGCTCAACAGCACAGAAAATATCGTGGTCAACCAAGCGAGCCAGTTCACGTTTCATGCGTGAAAGGCCATGGATTCTAATGCGTTTACCGGGCTTCTCTACAGCCTCAGGGTGCAGACGTAACCTACCGTCTTGTACGCAAACACGCAGCGTTTTTTCTATAGTACACTAGTCCTTTTGGCTAAGTTATATTACTCGCGTGGCGTGACTCGTTGGCTCGCAACTATGACACACCATTCGCCTTGAATATCGCGATGATTTCTCCAATGCCTAGAATTTTGGGTAAGGTCGAGTGGTGGCATGAGGAAAGCACAAACCCATTTGGGCTGCGCAATGGTACGGCGTCATGTTATTCTTGGCGGCGCCGTTGGCGGGAGCACCGGCCGCGATAAGCGCTTGAACAACGCCCGCACCTACGCACATCGCACTCACTTGAACGGCAATGGACAGGTAGGGTAACCTTTGGCGCGCGCGGCTGCGATATGTAGTGGCTGCCACCCTTTCTTGTCAAAAAGTGTCAGCGAGACTCCTGCGTGGACCAACAGAGGCACAAGAGTCGGGTCCAAAGTCTCCGTGTCGATCTCGGCCGCGACGTGTAGGAGCGAAGCACCCGTCTCACGGTCTGTCACCGTCAAGTCGAAGCCGTGTGATATAAAGGTGGATATGACATCGACACGACCGCATCGGGTAGCTGTCTGGAGCGGTGAGTCGCCAACAGCATTTAGCTATAGTGGCGTGTTAGTCATCATAGCAAAAATCTGCTGCGGTGAGTACCCGTGTGGAAAGGGGATCCGCGGCAGAACTCAGGAGTTTGTCGACTGCGTAGACGTATCCCATTCGACACGCCAAGTGCAGTGGCGTGTCAAGGGAACCCTTTAGTGGCTCCGTGCACTCAATGACTGGAACTTGCGCCAAGAGATAGTCCACAGAGACGTCTTGTTGCGACGCAATCGCGGCATGGAGCAAAGTCGCGTTCTGTGGATCCGTCTCGTCGAGCGTGACGCCAAACGCTCGAAGCATTTCGACGCATGCAATGTGACCGCGCTCGATAGCAACAAACACCGCCGAGCGCCCGCGTTGGTCTCGAAGAAAAGCTGCGCGTGCCTCTGCTCGCAAGAGGACTCGAAGCACCGCGGGTGATGGGTGCATAGCGGCGTAGTGAATCGGTGTTTGGTCGTCCAAGTCAACGCAGCTCACACGCGCGCCAAGATTCAGCAGCTTCTTGGCCCCCACGGCACTGCCGACCTTGGCAGCATCGTGCAGTGGTGTCAACCTATTGTAGGGGTAAACGGTCTGTTACATGGTATGATTCGGGATATGGAGTACCCCGCATTGTCCTTGATGTCGACATGGATATTGCGCACGGCCATGATCTCGCTGAAGGTATAGCCATGACTAGCGGCTTCGTGCAGGACAGTGCGACCTCTACGTCAACGATGCTAGAACCACAGAGCTGAAGGAGTACGGAGCGCACCCATCGTCTTGGTGCAGGATGTTTGCACCGTGAGAAAGAAGGTATAGAGCTACGTCACTGTGAGGGGCACTGTGGAGGAGCGCTGTTCGCCCCGTGTTGTCGATCTCGTCGATGGTCGCGCCGCGTTGGAGGCAAAACCGAACCACCGTTGTGAACCCTTTCATTGATGCTTTCATGAGCATCGTGCGCCCATCGCTCGCGTCGCGCTCGTTGATGTCAATGCCCATTTCCAGAAGATGCTCGAGGTTGCGTAGCGGACCCTCCAGAGCTGCAGCGACGCGCTGCGCTGGCGTCAGCGCAGCCTCATCATCGTTGAGATCGTCTATTGTGTCCGTGTCTTCGTGCTCATCCGTGAGACTCCAGCGCTTCCGGATCTCGCTGGCGACGGCATCGTGACCACAAGAAAGTGCAACCCGCCACGCTGTTTGGCCATGACCGTCCAAGATGCTCACATCCGCACCTGCGATTCATCACGATGCGTGAGATTATGGTGGCGAGGAGACGTTCGTGATTGTACCTGCGCATAGTAGTGCGATAACCATCTCGAGGCTGCCGGTACGGGCGGCGTAATGTAGAACGGTCGCACCATGCACATCTTGGTAGTTGACCTACTACTCTAAGAACCAGCAGTTTCCAAATGCCGAGAGCGTACAGTGGCCTTTGGGCAATGGTCAAGGATAAATTGCACCGTCGCAAGGTTGCCGCCTCGGACGGCTTCGTGCAGCGGCGTTCGTCGCCACTCTGCGTCTTGGGTTGTACCACTTAGACCGTGAAGCAAGAGCTGCTCAACGGTTGTTAGCATCCCATTGCGCGCTGCGTCGTGCAAAACAGTTCGTCCCGTCGTGACGAGCTCAGGGTTTTTTGTGAGCAAGTAATCAGCCACGTCGGCGTGCCCATGGTGCACGGCCAGCATGATTGGCGTCATTTGGAGATGATTCGCAGCGTCGAGTCGGACGCGGGTAATCAGAGACCGCACAATGGACAAGTGCCCAAAGCGACTTGCGATGCAAAGCACCGTGTTCCCTACGCCAGCAAGATAAGAAAATGTCACTCAACGCGCGCCGTACCGTTGTGGTCTATGCCGTTCGGGTCTAAAGGCGCCTCGATACCAAGACCGTCGAGCAAGTCGACGACTGCCTCTTGGTTGCCACGCCGCGCTTGAATAAAAACGTCGACTTGCTGCTCGAGGCGCAATGTGCGCGCTCGACAGCGCCCAAGAAAGCCCGAAATAACTCGAGCAATCGCCATCGAGGCCAACAACTGGTTTTCGGCAGCGCGCCATGCCCCGCGGCGTGCACTCCGACGCCGTCCGAGGTGTCCGCGGTAGACACGCTGGATCAGTAAGCTGGCCGCGACTACGATACTCTGACGCTCAAGCGCACGAAGGCGCGAGACACGTGCCCGACTCGTGAAACCACGCATCCAGCGTTGTAGGAAGATGGCGGCGTAATCATTTTGTGCCTTCTGCGTTCGGCTGGCTTGGAGTCGCAGCGCTTTGGTAGCGAGCATGCACGTAGTGGCATTCTGGAGAATACGTACTGCCGCGGTCTGAACACAATAACGGCGCATGCGAAGAACGCCACACGCAATGTACCCTCGGTAGAGTCGCTGTACGAGCAGCGCGAGGCGAAGACACAATAGCTCGTAGTGCCGAAGCCGGATTTTGCGCACGTAGCAGCGGGCTAGGCGCTGCCGGACGTAGGATTGGATCACGCGCGCGCAGTCGTTGAGGACCTCTTCGGTTACCATTCGCGCCTCCTTGCGGCGAATGGCAAGTGCGAGACGCTGACGAAAGATTCGCTGTATGCGCACTGCTGCAGTCGTGCACTCGTGGAATCGTGCTCGGGTGCGGTCCTTCTCCTCGAGTATGATGCCAGTGCCGTACGTCACGTCCTTCATCGCGACGCGTACTTTGTTTCGAATAACAAGAGTCTTCTTGAGTCGGTCGAGGTTCTTTCGGAGCGCATGGCCACGCTGCGTGCGCTGAATCGTACATGCGGCCTTGTACTCGAGCTACGTAAAAGCCGCTGGTGAGTCACTTATAAAAAAGCAAGTGCATCACCTCATGACGGGTATGGCGGTGTGAATCAAGCTTGGACATGAAGACAGATCGCTCGAACGAGAGAGCTTTGCGGTAGCGCTACAGTATTCTTTAATAGACGTCAAGTCCACGCAACAAAACGAATTACCTCGTGGTTGTCGAGGTCGCGGTCATGGTCGTTTTGGAGGGGGTTGACATAGAGTGGGTCGTTGAAGGTGTTTGCATGGTTGTGACGTCTTGCGTGGCTCTGTTGGGCCGATGTGATCTGTGACTGCGTGCGCACGGTCGTGACGATCGAGACGACGTCGCTGTACGTGCATCGGCGCGTGCTGAAGTACAATGACGGCGCCAGCGAGAGCCCTTGGTGAACATTAACGACGCTATTTTGGAGTTTTTCTGCCTGATCCGCCAGCCAAGCGATGCGAGATGCGCCGTCGTCAGACATCGAGGGCAGGTGCTGCCGCATCGCAAAGCCGCCTCTTCGTGCCGGTTGGATACCGACGCCGCTGATTGGTTCATGGCGGATCTAGATCTCTCGGAAATAGTGTACTTTTTAGTGAATTGCTTTCGATACCGTATTCATGTACTAGTACCGGTACTAGTATTGTGAAAACCGGCGTTTTTGTCGTCATGAAATCGGGGTCGAATTCGTTGACTTTTTTTCCTGCCGCAGCAACAATTCGTTCGGTGGACACCCGCTAATTCGTCCGGATAAGAATCGGCGAGGTGCTAAAACGTCCAAGCGAAATATAATTCAGTGCTAGGAGTAATGATAGTACAAATGTATGTGACGATGTTTCTTTACAATAAAAATTCGTGGGCCAAATGGAATGGCGAAAGCAGTTCACAAATCGTTGGCCCTGAAGCAGCGCAGGTTGAAGAAGCAAGGGGAGAGCGGCCGCGCGACCAAGATCGTTGTTACTCGGACTCTATGCCCCTCTGCAGGTATCATACGTACGTCTACGATGTAGAGCATGGTGTGCGGTGACAGCGCACTATGCGCGCACGTTCGGCGTGTCCAAAGAGACCCAGTCCACGAGAAGCCGATGGTCGTGAGTGGCGCAGGCGGAAAGCCATCGCCCGCGCTTAGACG